AACAAACAGAAATCGACAAGCAACAATATATTACCTCTATGTTTTCAAACTTGTCTTTCTACAAACCACTACTTTCTAATAACTTAAGAAGTTCAAACATGACCCTCTTCTTTATAACATCTATGTCCCTATTTCTCCATAGATCTAAGCAAGCAGTTATGATTTCATAAATCCTAGCAATTACTCCAGAAGATTTTTCAATCACCTTTATAGACTAACATGGGAGGAATATTGATGCCATGCAAAGATAATATGCAAGCTTAAGAATATACGAACCTTCACGCACCAGTAATGTTATAAGGTGAATTCTTGCTCTTCATTTCTCCCATATTTCCTTTAGTTCATATCCCTTCCACACCATTATCTACTACCTACATGAACAAGTATTTTAGGCTCAAACTCTCAGTGATATAGTGTTTTTCTTGAGTTGGGAAAGTAATTATAATCTTTTCCACCAGCCCATCTTCAGAAAAGTTTTTACGAGATATCATATGAACATAAGAAATCGAGGATATATATTTAGGAAATTCAAATGGAGTTCAATTAATAACCATAAAGCAAGCAAAGATGCACCAACAAAGACTCTAGGTCCTCTAATTGAAAAGTCATCAGCACATCAATAACCTTTGACTCTACTTCTGAAAGTTGGAAAAAAATCAGAGTCATTTGCATAAAAATAAAATACTTGGAAAGAACAGAAGCGAGGATGCACTCATACTTGCAACTTACATGACACTTATGAACAGGTTTGTAGCTTCTCTGCCTAACATCATTCCATAAAACTTCAGTATCAGGGCCTGTACGAATGACTTTCTAATCTTTGGCTATTTCATCAGTAAGCCACTTTTGCAAATTCTCCTGTAGAAGTACATCGCAATTAGATATACTTTTGTCGTTAATGTGATGAAAACTACACATACCCCATGCACATACTCTGTCACATTCATCAACCTATGAATATCATATTTGAACATGTTTAGGGAAAAGATGTGAGAACTGTACTCCAACTTGTAGCCGAGTAATTTCTTTAAGAGTTTTGAGCTCCTGCAAAAAACCAAGATCTTGAGATAAACTCTTGTAAAAATTGGATCAAAACCAGACTCAAAATATAAAAGAGAGTTCCCTTGAGAACAGTCTACTTCTATCAACCTTCTAACAAGAGAAATAAAGTGTTGAAACATATATTGTTTGAGGAAATTAAAGTAGATGTAACTAGCTTATCAAAGGAATATTAACAACATACTACATATAAGCTAGTTAAGTTGTGAGTAGATCTGAGGGCTATTGAACTTAAAAATTTCACAATTTTTATTTGTATCAAGATCATCAAGCATCCACAGTCTTTTTCCTTGGTCACACCTAACTGATTAATTGTAAATATCCTTTACGAATCCTTCTAGTTTCTCAAACTTCTCCTTGGGAATAACAAGGAGGTGATCCACCACAATAATATTACCAAGTCCCGTGTCAAATTATAGCTGAAAGGTAGATTAAAAGAACAAATCATGCATCAACATTGGTAGTAATCTAACATTTATGCGAAAAGCTAGTCTCAAATCTAAGCTGAAACTTCCCTCAAGCAATTTGTAGAAAGCGAGCCAACCATCAACAAGATTCATAGCACATTTGACTAGCCAAATTCTAAAAATAATCTTGAATCATTTTCACAGAACCTGATTTGCAAATAAGTGGAAAACCAGAGCTAGGTCTAGAAATGATACCATGTTAGGCTTGAATACCTTCATCTTTTTCATTTTTTGTGCTCCTCCTTAAGCGTTTCGAGTTCCTTCTCTTTGACGTAAAGATGCTCCCCACTCGTTTAAATAGACATGTAGGAAGATATGGGCTGCTTAGGCTTACGAATCCATTAGCTTCCTACAAAGAAGAGAATGCAGTCAGGTTTCTCAATATTTATTACAATAATACAAATTCGAGTGAAAAAATGGGATGTAGCTAAGTTTTATTTGTTGTTGTCTTGTTCAGCTTCCAGCTCAAAGTACTGGTCCATTGCAGCTTCTTGCTTTTGCTTATCTTCCAGAAGTTTCATGGCTTTCCTCTAGCAGTTCTTCTACGAACTCAACCAACCTAGAGATAAGCTTCCTTATCGACAATAAGAGTCTTCCATTTAACACCAAGTTCTGTTTTCTTCTCTGATGTTGATGACATTACTTGTCCTTTCTGAGCATGGACGTGATTCTTGTTTCTCCAAGTTCAAAGAAGCCAATCCTTAATGTGTTCGTAAATTCCATATGAGTAAATTCCAGAAAAGTAACAGATCATTATAAACTTGAAAGAAAGAGAATTAGTTGATGTCTTTGTTCAACTTGTTTATCGTCAAAGGAAATACAAAATGCAATATAGACATTTGTTGATATCCATCTCAATCTTATCACATTTCCAGACTCTTGTATAAGTTATAATACTTTAATAGATTGACGTCTGGTTATATAATTATTTTATATGAGAAGCTCACTCTCCAACCAAGTATTGCATCGGTTAAGAATTTGTCATTAAGTAATGATCTCAACATCTAGATGTAAGAAGATAAGCGTACCAAATATATGGTAGAAGCGGCAGTTCCCTGTCATGGAACCTATTACTGCACCCTGCCAAACTATATGGTAAGAAGCTGATCATAAGACTAAGGAAAACTAAAGTCATTCAAAGTACCTTTGCATCTGGACGATAGCACACAACTGTTACAATGTCTCTTATATCTGTGTAGTCAACAACTCGACAACGAGTCACATCCCATATTCAAATTTTTCCATCAATCGATCCGCTTATAAAACAATTATCGTCCACAACACTAAATGCCACACAAGTCATTGTGTAAGAAGGAGAGGGAGAAGGTGTTAGTCAGCACACAACAAAAATGAAGAACAAAAGTACATGCAATACTGAAGAAGACACTCACTGAAACTGTTATGAGTGAAAGCTCTAAGACATTCACCACAACCTACTATCCAAAAACGAACAGTCTCTTCGACAGAAGTTAACAAGAGATACACAATCAAAGACTATATAAATGTAGGAAGAGTTTGAAAACATGTTTACCCCTCTCTCAATAGATGAGTATCGTCTGCGAAAAAGCTGCAAACCAAAATATGTGAAACTATACTAGTCTAGCGCAAGACCTTCAAGAATAAATCATAATGTACTCTACAAAGTGAATTTACCTGGAGATTAGGGTCATGATGTGTACTTGAGCTTATGGAGTTCTACCTTCAAGTACAAGCAATCTTTCTCGTCTCCTCTGAATAGAAGGACGAAGTAGCTTCTATGGGCCATAGAGAGTTTACTTATACATGATGTGCTTGTCTTTTTTAGTAGCGGTCTCCTATGTTCATTCATGGCTTACTAAAGCTCTCTTCCACTTGAATGGAGCTTAAACACAGAAGCATCATATGGTTAGGCCGGTGATTCATTTGGCGATGACATTTCTTTACAAACACCATGATGGTCTTTTAATTTCTCTGCAACCTTTCTTCTTTTTTCCCTTCTGTTCTTCTTCACTTTGTGCCTACAGCAAAAGTCTGAGGAGCAACATAAATGATCTCAAATCAATCACCAAATCCAATGAAATTTACTAGATATGTGGAGAAATGTAACAAAACCAAACAGTGACAGAGGTGATGTTTGAACATTCAGAGTTAACGAAAATCAAATAGTTTTAGTATTATATATATAGTTTAAACTCTAAAGTAGTATTTATATTTTAAAATAATATTTTTCTTCATTCGGGCCGGGTCTTACAATAAGAATTTTTCCAAAACCAACAAATCAATGTTACATTTTTACAATAAATAAAATATCTTTGTATACCTTCCATTTTAGTGATATGTGAGCAATAAGAATTGAATTGTTGATCCCTGAATGCTCTCTGACAAACTTAGGAGGGTTTATTGGTTCATGGATTTATAGGGAATTAGAAATCCAAACAAAAATCATTTGTTATTCGATCATTGATTTTAAAATCCAAATTAAAATTATGTGTTACTGGTTCTATGACTTATAAATACTAGTTAAAATCCTATGTTATTCGTTTAGTCATTTGTTTTGGATTTGAGAATCCAAATTATGTTTTAAATGGATTTGTATGGAATTGAAAGAGAAAAATAGAAGAATTCAAATCCATGGGTAAACACATGTTATTTCAAAATCCATAATTTCATAACTAATAAAGATTTCCAAATCCTATATGGATTTACAAATTAATAAACCAATAACACCCCCTTAATCTTGCGTCTTCGCTATAAGATTTACAAAAAAATTAGTTAGAAAATATTTGAGATTGAATATAATTTTTTCTGTTTTCAAAGTTGAAACAAGGCTTTTTAGGTTTTCAGGGTCAACATTCTCATACGTCGTCTTGTTTTTTGTTGCCTCTTTCTTCTTCTGCAAGAAACATCTGTTGTTGTTAGTACACTTAGGCCAATATGTTTTCCTGAAATCCATGACCAGCTAAAGAATCCCTCTCAACCTAGGATGCAGCAGAGTTGTGGTAGTTCGTAACTGGCGTCCTGCAAGACGAACCAGTTCCACAGAAACATCAAAGTCTACTCGGATCCATATATCATTACAAATCAGAAAAAGTCAAAACACAAAATATTCTACAACAAGACGTTCACTACACAACAGACTTGACAAGTTGTTCGATATATATTATCTTGGATGGAAGACATACCGTCTAGGTAGCTTTGTTGCTCTCCATACTTAAGAAGCTTGACATATAAATTACCAAGGTTGATTAATTCATCATGTGTCTGAGACAACTTTCAATGCATGTCATGGATCTTCTTTGAGAATCCATCAAGGGTTACAGAATAGACGAAATACTTACAAGCTAAGTGCATAAAATAAATGACTTAGATAGAAAGATTAGCATTCTATATCGCTAACTGAAACGGAAACCTTTTGAAAAAGTTCCAAACACATTTTGACAGAGGAAAGCATTCTTAACCGGTAACATAAGAAAAAATAATTCATAGTATTATTTATAGTAACATAAAGCTTTCTTTGGGTAAACTGAAGAAACGAAACAAACCTGAGCAATGGCAAAAAGAGTAAGCGTTGGAAAAGCCGTCAATGCAACAAGGGCCAAACACCAACTAAGCAGCAACCCAATATGAATGGCAAAGATGGCAGCAAAATTTTCCTGAATAAAAGTGATTTGACATCTAAAAAAGATGACCAGCAGAGAAAATAGTTTATCAGTGAGTAAACCATGACTAGAAACAAAAACAGAACAGCCAGCTATGGTTTTACCAATCCTAGTAACTATACTCCACAAAATTGTCCAATCACCTTGATAAACAGGGGATGAATACTGATGCCCTGCAAAGATTTTACGCAAGCTTATGAATATACAGACTCCCCAAAAACAAAGGAAAACGACCAAATAGAACAAAGAACGAAGGAAGCTAGTGTACAAACGAACCTTCACCAACCAGCAATGTTATAAGATGCATCTCTTGGTGGAAGCTCTTCATTTCTCCCATACCTTCATGGATTTTTTTTTATCTATTAGGCTGAAAGTCTCAGTGCCATAGATAGATATCGTGTTTTTGCTGAGCTAGCCTATATGCAGAAAAAGTTAACAAGAAATCAACATGTAGTTTAAGAAATTCAAAATGCAGTTCAAGAAATTACCTGAAAGCAGGCCAAGAGGCGCCAACAATACCACCAGGTTCTCCAATTGAAAAATCAGAAGCACCACCCTTGAAGCCACTTTTGCAAATTCTCCTGCAAAGGTAAACCATATAAGTAACGAGAACAAGAACCTCAAAAGGCTACATTTAATACACAAGTGTACATACCACAAGAGTTATAAAATAAATTATTGGTTATTATGGATCAAATGCATTAACAGATCCTAATCTTGATGCAGATGGCGAATACATCACTGAACCAACCAGTAGATACAGACACAGAGGACTAAACGAGGTTATTACAATACAAGTATTCAAGATACATGCCAACTAGAAATATTGTTGTCGCTAATGTGAAAAAAACTACACATACCCCAGGCACATACTCTGTCAATTTCATCAACCTTGTCAATATCATTAAACATGTTTACGGCAATAATGTGAGACTTGTCCAACTTGTAGCCATGTGTCTTTTCCTTGGAGTTTTGAGATTCCTGCAACGAAGCTAGATCTTGAGACAAACTCTTGGCAAAAGTGGATCAAACCCAAACTCAAAATATAAAAGACCCTCTCCTTGAGAACAGTCTACTTCTATCTCCCTTCTGACAATATATTGCTTGAGTAAAGTAGTTCTAACAAACTTATCAAAGATGAGAAGAAACAAAACCTCAAAAAGGAATATTAACGACATTCATGTAGTTGTGAGTAGATAATAACTTGAGGGCTATTGAATTTAAAAATACCACAATGTCATCTTTGTATCGAGATAATCAAGCATCCATAGTCTTTTTCCTTGATCACGCCTAACTGGTTATATATATATTCTTTATGACGCCTTCTAGTTTGTCAAACTTCTCCTTAGGAATAACAAGGAGGTGATCGACCACAATAATATTACCAAGTCCCGTGTCGAATTATAGCTTAAAGTGAGATTAAAAGAACAAATCATGCATCAACTTTGGTAGTAATCTAACATTTGTGCGAAAAGCTAGTTTCAAATCTAAGCTGAAACTACCATCAAGCAATTTGTTCAAAGCGGGCTAACCATCAACAAGCTCCAAAACGCATATGACTAAAAAAATCTTAAATCATTTTCAAAGAACCAGAACTGCAAAATAAGTGGAGAACCAGAGCTAGATCTAGAAATGATACCCTGTTAGGCTTGAATACCTTCATCATTTGTAGTTTTTTGTTCTCCACCTTAAGCGTCTCGAGTTCATTCTCTTTGTCGTAAAGATGCTCTCCACTCGTTTAAATAGATTAGTTAGGAAGCTATGGGCTGCTTAGGCTTAAGGGATCCTTTAGCTTCCTGCAAAACGACCATGCAGTTAGGTTTCTTACTTATTATTACAAAAAGAAAAATCTCAAGTGAAATAGTGGGATGAAGTCAGTTTCACTGCCGGCATTGCAGTTTCTGCTTTCGCTTATCTTCCATTAGTTTCAGGGTTTTCCTCTAGTGGTTCTTCTATGCAACAACCTAGAGGTAAGCTTCTTTAATCTGCAGTAAGATTCTTCCATTTAATACCAAGTTATGTTTTCTTCTTTAATGGTGACGATATTACTAATCTTTTCTGAGCTTGAGCTTGATTCTTGTTCTTCAAGTTCAAAGAAGCCAATGCTTAAGGTGTTCGTAAATTCCATATGACTACTCTCCAAAAGAATAACAGATCATTATAAGCCTGAAAGAAAGAGAATTAGTTGATAGTGAGAATAGAAAAGCCCATAAAAGCAACAAAGAAAACGAGACAAAGAAAGAAGAACATTTCATATACTCATAAACTATACGGTATAAAAGGATGTTTATTGGGCGACCTTGCTATTCTCCAAGTCAAAACATGAAGGATAACGTTAAAACATGCACACATCTTGATAACTGATAAGAAAGCGTTGGATATATATTTTTCCTGAATTCTCACCTGAGATTTTTTTGAGGATCCACGTAGACACATTGAAAAAAAGTAGACAAAGTTATAATATGCAATATCAAAAAGAAAATATGACCCTTTTAGAGATGCTTTGACTCTCATAATTGATGTCCTAATTTCAATTACCTATGTTGAAGGAAAAGGAGAACAAGTGAGAATCCCTGACAGTCTCGGAAGAAATGATGAGCTCTGTGTTCTCTCTTTTGCGAGCTTGACAGTAATCCTGGGCTGAGTTAGCAAGAAAAAAGATGATCAACTTGCATCCTTTTCAAATTCTAATATTACACGATCACAAATAGGTAGCCAAGTTTTGAACACTCTAAATTAGAAAATGTACTTAGCAAGAGAGAAAGTAAGGTAGAAAAGTACCGCTTCAACTTGTAGTGCCTTATAATTGTGAACTCCAGTTCCAGATACTTGAATAAGTGCAACTGATTCCATCGTGTCGGTTTCGTCTGATGAACCTTTTCTCTGTCATTCTATTTTGTAACCAGAACTCAAGCGACCCTAAAGTTAATGTAACTATAACAATTACGAATAGAACTGCAACCACACAGATCAGCCAATCTATAACATGTGCTATATTTCGATGGGAACCAATACCTTAAACAAGGGAAGATAATGAAGAACTTCAATGGGAATGTGAACATACTCAGAAGTAACCAGAAACTTCAGTCTCCTGCATCCACAAGGAAGTGTAAAATAACACAAAATTAGTAATCAACATAAACATGAAAACCACAGATGCAATATAGATCCTGGAAAATAATCACCATGAAACAAGAAAGGTACTCAGAGAACAAATATGCTTCCTCGAAACTGAGCTGCATCAAAATTAGAATTATCCAAATCAAACCAAGTAAAAAATAGAATAGTATAACATCTTATAACGGTAACAAAATCAATGACATAAACCTTGAGAAACAAGTAGCCAAACCCTTAAATACCTGACCAAAAATGGTTTATATTCCTGAAGAACTCATAGATGATGAAGTCGTTCTTCTCCCTCTAAGTAAAAACCTAAAAGCCTCACAAGATTACGATGTTGAAGTTTCGAAACCAATGAGACTTCGTTTACGAACTCATTGTCTCCTTTTCCTGATTTCATTGACAATCTTTTCACAGCTCTCTTCCCCTAGAATCAAGAACACCCTGGTGATTATTGAAACACATGTTATGAGATTGAATCATAAAAAAAAATGTTTAATTAAGATCATAAACATAAGAAACACTTATCAACCTTATAAACTGCACCAGATCCACCTTCACCAAGCACCAAGATGGTTGTTTGGAGAGAAGTCATTAGTTGCTAATCTTATGGGTTCAAAGTCAAGTTGCAATAATTGTGCATCTTTACTTTTATGGTCTTCGACATCTTTGCTTGATCCTAAAGCAATAAAATTAAAAGGGTGTTTAAAGTTAAAACTCTCGAAAAAATAGTATTAACCTAAAGATTTGACTTTTTGAATAACTGTTTTACCTTCAAGTCTCTGTTTTGCTTTCTTCTATTCCTTTCAACACGAAGTAAAAGAGCATCTAAGTCAACATATCAAGAACATGGGATACTAGTAGCTGTAATTTGCTAAACATGTCTTAGTAATAAGCAACTCGCAAAAGTCAGTTTCTAATACGTTTTATGCCTAAGATGAAAAGCAGTAAGCACAACCAGTTTCCAGCCATATATATTATTTGATGGCAAGTCAAAGGTTTTGATAACGATTACGGATAAACATACCAAAGCTAAATTTAATGAGAAAAAGAAGTGGCAGTTAACAGAAAAGTCGATGACAATAAGGTTTAATTTTGCGCTTTCTGGCAGCTTCCCCTCAGTTTAAATGTAAATCTATCCTCCTCTATAAATGCAGAGCTTCCTCAGTTTTAATTAGTCTACTGGTCATTTTAACTTCATTATGTATAAGTGTGCTGAAAACAGAGTTGACATATGCCGAAACTACATAATTTAATTGCTTTTAAATGAGTATGTTCCCAAACCGTCTCTAACACAATCACATTAACTAGCACCATACTTAAAAATAGACCCCCCCTTCTCAAGTGGTTTAGACTCTAAGAAAACATTTAGTCAAATAACATAAACAACTAAACAGAGTTCAGGAAACAACTAATACAAAACCATCCTCCTAAGCGACCTAAAGCAAGCGTGAAAACATGAACACTCTATAATAAAGAGTACCTAACACAAAGAAGTGAACCCACATAATCAAGAGCCGAAACAACTGATATATACAATCACTTTGCCCAACTAATCACAAAGAACTTCCAACATAACATTAACTCTCTGAAGAACAGAAGGAACGTGAAAATCCAAATCTTGGAACATCAAAATCTATATGTATCTAGAATTATCGACAACCTATAAACAAGAGATAAAACACATAAATTAACCAATTCAAGCAGCTTAGATATCAAAAAAAGAAACACATCCAAAGATAATCGCTTAAAAACCAGTGAAAGAATTACTGCAAGATTGTCATAGCAAATGTAACTGATACCAAAACAATTACTAGCACACCCTACATGCTATCAATTCAAGGCATGAAATAAGATGACCTTTTAAACCTCTTCGATAACTAATTCATATATATACATCCTGACTTACATTTACCAAGAACATGCAAAAAATCTATTCACGTGTCTAGACTCATTACAGTGCTAAGACCAAAAGCACAACCAAACAGAAAAAACTTTCCAATTTACTAGAGAGATGGCTCATATGCAGAGCAAAAGATTTTCTGGAAGCAAGATCCTTAACACTATACGCAATAGCTTCTTTCTTTCTTCAATAAAAGAATAAGAATTTAGATGCAACATCTGAGTTATCCAATAAAAAATAAGACAAACCTGTAACAACATACATTCAAAAGGATCATATGTTGGCTGTTGCGGAACTGCAGTTTTGAGCAATGTTAATGTACCAACACCAGCTTGCTGCCAGAAAAAATTGATATCAACATATTTGTAAATAGATATTGTAATTTCAAACTTAGACCCTCGTCTCATGTCAGTGTAGCATCAATCAACCGTAAAAATAAAAAGTACAGGGAGAGCGAAATATGGGACCTCATTTCTTTGTGCACTCTTTGATCTTTACTTTGCTTCCCTTTCGGCTTTTCTGAAACAGTCAACTTTAACCACCAATCTTATCTCTTCAGCCACCAACTCAAACAAGAGAATGAAAATTAAGAAAGAACACATAACTTTTAGAAAAGAACGACCAATAAAGTACATAGCCGAGTCAAATCTAATGGAAACCACATGTAGGATATGTTCAAAGAGAGGCTAATCTTAGAGATAAAGACTTCGCCACAACAACAGAAAAAAAAAAAAAAAAAAAGAGAAACTTAAGAGAACCTTTGGTATCTCCTAATATCTTTGGAAAGGCACAATCTCTAAAGTGAGAATAGAAAAGCCAACAAACGCAACAAGGAAAATGTTTTTCTTGGAACTTCAACAATTTCCAAACACACAAAATCGAGAAGAGAATAAACATAGCAAATCACAGACATATCGTAGGTCAGAGAAGAACTTTCACTCTCCATAGCAAATCTCAGACATATCGTAGAGCAGAGAAGAGCTTTCACTCTCACAGACATTTGAGTTAATGAGAAAGACTAAAACCATTTGGAAAACTAACTTTAAGGCTGGGTTAGTAATATAAGTTAAAGCAAACAGCAAGCAGCAAACATGCATCCCTTTAGAGAAAAATATAACCTGCACGCGTTAGACTATATAAAGAATAAACAAGTAGTAGAATCCAAATGAGAGAAACCACCATATAAGGCAAAATTCTCCCATGCCAGAAAGAAAAAAAAACAATGTTAGATTTGGTTGAAATAATGAAGTCAACCATCTACTATATAAGGAAAAGGTGATAAGACGCAATGTAATCAGAAGAAGAAAATAGCTTCATCGAGTCTTTACATTCGCTTAAAAAATCTACCATTCTCCATCGAAAACGCACAGAACATGGCAGAGCCTGCACTCTTGACTCCATGGTGGCAACAAGAAGTACTTCACATATAAACAGAAACAAAACAATCACGAAGCCAAAAAGAATATTAAAAGAACATTAATGTCACTCCACCTGTAACCTTCAACAAATAGAATACGTAGATAGGAATAAAGGATATTTATTGGGCTAGCTTCCTCTCTTCCCATCCAAGACACAACATGAAGAAGTGTTGATAAAGCTTCAACTCCTGCAGTAAAAGCAACGAGCTTCTAAGTCAACAGATCAAGAACATGGGACACTACTTGCTGTGATTTGATAAACATGTCATAGTAAAGAGCAACTAGAAAAATCCAGTTTCTAATTAGATTTACGTTTTGTGCCTAAGCTGAAAAGCAGTAAGCACAACTAGTTTCCAGCCTTAACCATTAATATATTATTTGATGGCAATTCAAAGGTTTGGATAAGTTCGAGAATCCATGACAGGGGACCTCATTTAACATGAGATCCATAGCCTTTTTTTCTTCACGGAAGTTCATGATATGTCAATAGCTTCATATTTATATCCGAAAGAAACATCCAAAAATGAGCTTATACTACTTACCAGAGAGCATGTTCTCCCGGAAGAAGTATTAAATCCAGAAGTCAAGGCAGTTAAAGCAGCAACACTTTGCCTTGGTCCTTGGTTACCACTGCTAGACTGATCCTGCAGCAGAAGGGTAGACGTTTCAACATCAGTTTTTCCATTATCACATCTGTTCTTACCAGCTATTGTTGAACATAAAGCAAGGAAACATAAAACACATGCATGCCTTCTTCTGGATGGAATTCCCTTGCACCTGTGTTACAAGTAAACATACCAAAGCTAAACTTAATGAGAAAAAGAAGTCGAAGTTTACGAAAAACGGAATTGGCATAGTGTAACAAACTTAATTTCTTTCAAATGAGTGTGTTCCCAATCCCTCTCTAATACAATCACGTTAACTAGCACCATACATCAAAATAGACCCCATTCTCATGCTAATAACCCAAAAGATATCTGCGATCAGAAAACCTTACAGTAGCTTTAGTAGAATACCATGAAAAATGAGTGGTGAAGAAGCATGGCTCATTTCCCTCTGTGATTTCTTATAATGGAACTTTTGGGGACAAGCGGTTCCTTAACCAACCAGATCTATGTATCTCTGCACAAAAATGTACAAAGAGCACACAAGATAGAAAATGAGGAGCAATAACTTATGCCTGAGAAGCAAAACTGATGAAGCATATTACTTGGCTAATCTCAAAACTTTATGTTTGTTTTTCCTTTGGGTCCACACATTGACCAACCCACATAAATGCATTTCTTCCGTCAAGAGGTTAAAATTTGTGAATCTCTTCAACCTGTGCACACATCTTGATAACTAATAAGAAAACGTTGGATAAATTTTTAAATTCTCACCTGAAATTTTCCTAAGGATCCATGTAGACACATTGAATAGAAGAAGACAAAGTAAGAATATAAAAGTTTATCAAAAAGAAATATGACCCTAATAGAGATGCTTTAACCCTATTAAAGAAATATAATTGATGTCCCAATTTCAATCACCTCTGCTGAAAGGAAAAGGTGAACAAGTGAAAATCCCTAACAGTCTCGGAGGAAACCATCTGCTGGTGAAGTTCTGTTTTCCCCCAAGTGCAAACCAAAAGGATGAGCTCCTTGTTTTCTCTTTTCCGTGCGTGACAGTAATCCCATGCAAGAAAAAAGATGGTTAAATTTACCAATTGAAGAACTATGATAAGAAGTACCAGTAATAAGCTTTATAAACATTATATAGGCTCTACTTAGACAATTTTAGCTAAACTAATATCAAAGATTACACCATTAGAAACTACCTTTAAAAATTCAGTAACTTGGGCAGCCACTCTTGTTGCTTATGCGTACTATAGTTTCCATGCGACAGTTTTGAATTAGAAGATGTACTTAGCAAGATAGAAAGTAAGGTAGAAAAGTACCGCTTCAACTTAAAGTGCCTTATTATTTCGAACTCCGGTTCTAGAAACTTGAATAAGTGCAACTGATTCCGACGTGTAGCGGTGTAGGTTTCGTCTGATGAACCTTTCTCTGTCGTTCTATTATCGTGACCTCCAGTTCTAGATTCCATCGTGTAGTTTAGGTCTGAAGAACCTTTCTCTATCATTCTATTTTTGTGACCAGAGCTCAAACAACCCTAAACGATAATGTATATCAATTACCAATATATTTTCTTCCAGCAACAATCGAAAGAAATACCTTAAGGACCACCATATGTTGAAAAAGTGCAACAAATTGTGGAAGTTCTTTACCCTCAAATATACGGGCCTGCAAGAAGATCACGTTATTTATTGAATCTTTCAGTGGCTATTACTTATAATAACAAAACAAGGTACATGCAGTGCTCTTCTTTTCAACGAATATGTCATTGTGCTCGCTAGACGAGCTGCTGTTTCTTGATCCTCCTAAAGTCGGGAGAAAACAAAAGTTAGATGGCTAAATTCAACATGTTCAAATATATACATAAAGCCATAAACTGAATAGATGAAATCCCTCACAATATGTACTCAAAGTTAAACAAGGGAAGATAATAAACAACTTCCAAGTGAATGTGAACATACCACAGAAGAAACCAGAAACTTTAGTCTCCTGCATCCACGAAAGTGTAAAATAAGACTACATTAGTAATCAACATAAACATGAAAACCACAGATGCAATATGGATCTTGGAAAAGAAATCACCCATGAAACAAGTAAGGTTCTTATAAACTGAGCTGCATCAAAACTGAAATTATCCAAATCAAACCAAGTTAAGAATAAAATTTAACATCTTATGACGCTAACTATCACTGATGATCTGTTAGAATTGAAACCATTCCTAGAGGTATTTGAACCGGCTAAGAACTTGAAGACTACGTCTCTTGACCTGACTTAGCAACCCCAAAAGAACAGACATAAAAAGATTTGGTAGAAATGTGGAGTCTTGTCAAGGTTTGAAACATATCTTGCTACAATCTGAAAAACATAGAAGCCTATAGTAAAAAGGAGAATTGAGTAAGCAAACATTTACTAGAAGTTACTAGCTCCCCTATTCGGAAAAGATAAAATCAATTGAAGTAGGTATAAACATAGGAAACGAGTAAAGCCCTTTAGCACAAGTATTGATCACATGTATACAAATATTGTGTAGAGAAGTAGGAGCCTATTTGAATCTAACAAAAACAAATAAAACGGTACAAATGAAAACGCATCTATATCTCATAAGAACTTAATCCTAGGAAATGATGACACTTAATAAACTAGGAACGCCTAAAGACATACCCTAAGAGGACCAATGCTTTCCTCTCTGCAATGTAAAACTCAATAATGTATCAAAAACATGAGTAATAAGCATTGAACATAAAAAAGCTGTATCATTTCATAGAAATCAAGCTAAAAAAATGGCTAGTAATAGAATGAATTTAAAAGTTTACTTCCCCTTATGATTCTCTTAGCCCCTTGATACGTTTGAATTGAACAAGCACTTCTCTTAGACCTTTCATTCTTGGAAAATCTATTCAGTTCGTCCTTTATCTTTTTATCCACTATAGAATCAATCTTTCTCAATATTCAGGATCAACCAGCTTGCCAAGGGAAAAAATCAAATCTTAATTTTTCAGGATAAAAATATGATCTGTTCTACTAAATATGATACCTAAGCCCATTTTAGATTCTTGATAGAAAGACAATTTTAAGGTTTGGTGATATAAATTAAAGCAAACAAAAAAATATAGATATATATACCTTCGGGGAAATATTCAACATATGCGCATGTATGATTATTAGCGATGAGTTTACGTCTCTCATAGTTAACCTGCACACATTAGACAAAAAGTTATACAAGTAAAATCCAAATGAGAGAGAACCATATAAGGAAAAATGTTTACCTTGCAGGTCACTTTGTCCCACATTGATAGATCTCCCATTTCATTAGAGAGATGACGTATATGCAGAGCAATATCCGGCAAGGTGATTCAACATCTGAGATAAACAGGAAAAACTAGTAAGGCTATAACTATATGTATTCAAAGAAATCACCTGTTGCTGAAACGCCTGTTTTGATGTAGCAATACCAACTTGCTGCCAAACAAAAATGGTGTCAGCATTTGTAAATAGAGAACTGTAATTTATGTTAGTGTAGGGAGAGAGAAACGTTGGAACAAATTTGGCGTGGCACTGTATGATCTTTACTTTGTTTCTCTCTCGGCTTTGCTGAAACAATAAACTTCAGCCACCAATCCTATCTCTTCAGCCATCAACTGAAACAAGAGAATCAAAGTTAAGTGAGTGATGAAGAAAATCTGGAAAACACGCAACCAGACATGAGAAATTATATAATGAACTACTCTATAAGAAAAAGGTGATAAGATGCAATGTAACCAGAAAAAAAGAAGAAAAAAAAAGTACCTTCTTGATAGTGTTTTTCACTCTGGGAAACTCTCTAAAATTTATATCAAGTAAAAGTTACTCTAAAGTCTAAACCATCAGACGAAAGAGATAAGGAAGTTGTCGCTCGAGTCAACCAATTAGGAACCAAAAATTATACTGTGTTAAAACCCACACGAACTTGCAGAAAAAGCATTACCACAAAAGGGCAACTGCTTATCGTGTCCTGTAAAATCTTAACATAATATCATATATTAGTTACCTGATCATGGAGAACACTGGTCAGTATTTAGCCTGTCTACCGTATCCATCTCCAGAATGTTTAAACCCTTAATTGAACCTATATTTCCAAAGAAACTGTCAAACAAATAAAAAGCAGATAGACACAACCATCATCAAGAAAAAGCTATGTACATCTAAGCCTAGTAAATGAAAGAATCCCCAAAAAGGGTAAGGCTTTACGAAAATTAAAATCACAAGAAGTGGCAAAATCTCATCAACGGACATCGTGATTTCTTGGTTGGAGTGACGAAACAATAAAGCATCACCTGTTATATAAGACAAAAGAGTTGTGAGGGTTCCTGGATCATTCAAATCTACAGCAAGCAATGAATATTATGACCTTCTAATGGAGCGCCAAAAAAAATGCTAACAAAATCATACACCTTGAGAAGGAAGTAGCCAAATCCTTAAATACAATCATGTGAAAGAAAAGCTATTAAAGATGACGAAAACCTTAATGTTTTTGTCTCAAAACCAATTCAATCATGTGAATGTTGAATGCTTTTTTTTGAATAAGTTCCCTCGTGTTCAAATCCTAAATAAACGGTATAAACCCCACCTGAATCATGTGAAAGATCAAATCTTTAATCTACTCGTGCATTTGATAAGCTATGACTAGATGACAACCAAAACGTTTGATTTACTACTCTTAGATAGATGCATATTTTAGCAACTTTGATTACCTCTGGTTTTGTATTTCAGGGTTCTTGGTTAGTATGTATTGGCACACCTGAATCCTCTGTCTTTTCTTGTAAGCGATTTGCAGTGTTCTCGTTACCAGTCCAACTTTTCCGTCAGCAATCACACTCCCATCGATATTCACAACCTGTAACCAAAGGAGAGGAGATTATTATGCTAAAAGACTTGATGTTTTCTCTAGAATTAATGTTAAGTGAGATCATTTGAAGATGTCATCAAGAACTTTAGCTATAGGTTACACTTATTCAAAGTTTTAATGAAAAATTATTGTTTTCAGTTAGTAAATGTCATAGATTCAGGTTCATAACGATTGAGGATGGTTTATCCATAAGCTACTAGAGACTGTACATACCGGGCTTAGTCCTCCCATAGTTCCTGTTAAAACAAAACCAATGTTAGATTTTTCTAGAGAAAAAGAGTGGCACAAATAAATCGAGTAAATGTTACTCTAAAGTCAGAACACCATCAAAAGAAAGTGATAAGGAAGCCGTCGCTCGAGTCAACCAATTAGGAACCAAAAAGTTTCATACAGGTCTAACCGCCAGTATGAATTGATTCTGTGTTAAACCCTTACGAACTTGCAGAAAAAGCATTGCCATAAATCAGTGACCTGGTCAATAAAACCTTAACGGAACCTATATTTCCAAAGAAACTGTCAAAAAACAAAGACAGATAGACTCAAAACCTAGTAAGTGCAAAAGGGAAAGACTATACGAAAAATACAATCACAAGAAGGTGCAAAATTTCATCAACGGATTTCTTGGTTAGAGTGACGAAACAATAAAACCTATCGCCTGTAATATAAGACAAAACGGTTGTGAGAGTTCCTGGATCATAATAGAAACCCTGTTAAAAGAAACAATAATGAAAATCAGAGAAGTGATAAAGGTGAAAAGAACACAAACTAATTGAGTAAAAAGGGTTCAAGGAACTTATTTGGATGCATTAATCAAGTGACTCATGTCAAAGTACTCCTTCTTGTTGTCAAATGAATTTCAGCTCTCGCTGCTAAGAACTTGAAGACTACGTCTCTTGACCTGACTTAGCAACCCCAAAAGAACAGACATAAAAAGATTTGGTAGAAATGTGGAGTCTTGTCAAGGTTTGAAACATATCTTGCTACAATCTGAAAAACATAGAAGCCTATAGTAAAAAGGAGAATTGAGTAAGCAAACATTTACTAGAAGTTACTAGCTCCCCTATTCGGAAAAGATAAAATCAATTGAAGTAGGTATAAACATAGGAAACGAGTAAAGCCCTTTAGCACAAGTATTGATCACATGTATACAAAATATTGTGTAGAGAAGTAGGAGCCTATTTGAATCTAACAAAAACAAATAAAACGTGTTCCAATATTTAAGACTAGGGTCAGATGACTTATCCTCCTCGGCGAGAATAAAGTATGCAAAATCTTTCAATTAAGAGAGAATGAAACACATCCCACTACTAGATTGAACCCGTAACAGAAGGGTAAATTGTACACACCTGAAATATACCTCACTCAAGATGAGATTGATGCCACGAGTTGCCAAATCCTGTCATAATGTTTTAAGAATAGTATAGTTAATAACCAGATCATCCAATGAAATCCAAAAATCAAAGTAAAGTATGAATACAAAATTAGGAAACAAGTAAAACCCCTGAAACCATAAACAGCCACAAGATAACGTGCAATGTCCAATCAATGCTCAAGCAGCCACCAAACACAACAAACCACTGCATCGACAGAAGAAAGCCACATGTTGCAATTTATGAGTCAAAGCCTAGATTACAAGTGTTTCTCACTTTGAAAAACTCTACAACCTAAACCAAGTAAGTAATATAGGTAGGAAAAATTAAAGAGACAAAACCTGAGGACCATTAAAAGAGACAGACCAAAACGTGGTATCCCTTATATCTGCATAAGAAGTAATTTCAACAAGTCAATAGAGGTAACCAATGCAAAAAGGAATAAAACAGTAGAAAGAAAACACCCATGAATCAAGAAAGTTTCTCAAGACAGTGCAAGAGTTGCCCCATCTAATACCAAAACTCAAACAAGGTGATCGCTGGAAATAAACGAAAAAGTTACATAGCAAAGTATGAGATGTTTGACACACAAAAAAGTCTCACACGCATCAGTGTAAAAAATGTAAAATTGCAATTCTACATTTTTACTTTTGTTTTTCCAAATTTCATGTGTCTTGTGTGGTTTGTACTTACGGAAGTATACCTTTTTCACTCATCAGCAATAGATCAATACTGGTAAAGAACTTACAATCATTGTGATGCCTAACTTGTTACTTCTGGTCTTCATGGAGGTGACTTTGAAATTGCGAGAGGGCAGCCACTGCTGCTGCTCTTTGTGACGCATGACTTGTTTATTCTGGTCTTCGTGGAGGTGATTTTGATGATGGTGTAGAATTGAATGCAGATATAAAGCTTCATCCCCTTGTCTTGGACCCCCTTGGCTTCCATTTTGAACTATCTCGGCTCAGTTAAAGCAAAGAGCGTCTAAATCAACATATCAAGAACAAGGGATACTAGTTGCTGTAAATCTATCCTCCTCTATAAATGTAGATCTTCCTCGGTTTTAATTAGTCTACTGGTCATTTTAAAAAATGAGATATAACCTCTAACTTCATTATGTATAAGTGTGCTGAAAACAGAGTTGGCATGTGCCGAAACTAAATAATTTAATTGCTTTTAAATGAGTATGTTCCCAAACCGTCTCTAACACAATCACATTAACTAGCACCATACTTAAAAATAGACCCCCCCTTCTCAAGTGGTTTAGACTCTAAGAAAACATTTAGTCAAAGAACATAAACAACTAAACAGAGTTCAGGAAACAACTAATACAAAACCATCCTCCTAAGTGACCTAAAGCAAGCGTGAAAACATAAAAACTCTATAATAAAGAGAACCTAACACAAAGAAGTGAACCCACATAATCAAGAGCCGAAACAACAGATCTATACAATCACTTTGGCCAACTAATCACAAAGAACTTCCAACATAACACTAACTCTCTGAAGAACAGAAGGAACGTGAAAATCCAAATCTTGGAACATCAAAATCTATACGTATCTAGAATCATCGACAATCTATACCCAAGAGACAAAACACATAAATTAACCAATTCAAGCAGCTTAGATATCAAACAAAGGTAACTGATATCAAAACAATTACTAGCACACCCTACATGCTATCAAATCACAATATCGAAACAGACCAAATACTGATAAAGGCATGAAATAAGATGACCTTTTAAACCTCTTCGAAAACTAATTCATATATATACATCCTAACTTATATTTACCAAGACCAAAAGCACAACCAAACAAAAAAAAATTTCAATTTCACTAGAGAGATGGCTAATATGCAGAGCAAACGATTTATTGGAAGCAAGATCCTTAACACTATACGCAATAGCTTCTTTCTTTCTTCAACAAAAGAATATGAATTTAGATGCAACATTTGAGTTATCCAAACAAAAAAAAAAGACAAACCTGTAACAACATTCGTTCAAAAGGATCATCTGTTGGTTGTTGGGGAACCGTAGTTTTTAGCAATATTAATGTACCAAAACCAGCAATCTCTAAAGTACAAATAGAAAAGCCAATAGAGGCAATAAGGAAAATGAGACAAAGAGAGAAAAACATTTTATATAACTATAAACTTACATGATGAAAGGATATTTACTGGGGCAGCTTGCTTTCCTCCAAGACATAGAAAGTTATGTGTATTTACAATAAAGATGTTGTGGTAGAGTAGTGTTGACAGATGCTTACCTCTTCACGCGCTGAGAGAAACTACTGAGAACCTATAGTATCACCGTATATCCCTGGAAAGGTACAATCTTTAAAGTGAGAATAGAAAAGCCCATAAAAGTAATAGGGAAAACGAGACAAAGAAAGAAAAAAATTTCATATACTCATAAACTTACGGTGTAAAAAGGATATTTATTGGGCCACCTTGCTATATCCTCCAAGGCACAACTGAAGAAGTGTTGATCATATACATATATATAATCTGTAGAACAAACAACAATGAACACGAATGCCAGACAATAAATAACCAGAAAAGTTACAAAGCAAAGTTTGAGACGTTGGACCCAAATAAAACCGCTTCGATAGACATATACACGTGGAAAGGGTTAAGGAATGTATATGAATTTGTTCAAGGGACGAAACCTGAGGAGCATTATTAGAAAGAGAACAAATGCTTTCAAAATGAGATTGTAAACACCTGAAATATACCTCACTCAATATAAGATTGATGACATGGGGTTGCCAAATGCTGTCATAATATTTTGAAAAAAAAACAGTCAATAACGAGATCATCCAACGAAATCCAAAAATAAAGTAAAGTAGGTATACAAAATTAGAAAACGAGTAAGAACCCTGAAACCATAAATAGCCACAAGATTCCAATCAACGCTCAAGCAGCCACCAAACAATACAAACCACTGCATCGACCGAAGAAAGCCACATATGCGATTTAAAATGAGTAGAAGTGTTTCTCGTTTTGAGAAGCTCTACAACCTAAATCAAGTAAGTAATATAGGTTCGAAAAATAAAAGAGACGAAACCTGAGGACCATTAAAAGAAAGAGCCCAAAACGTGATATCCCCTGTATCTGCATAAGAAGTAATTCAACATGTCAATAAAGGTAACCAATGCAATAAGGAATCAAACAGTAGAAAAATAACCCGAACATTGTGATTTGTGGAAATTTTCTTCGACTCTTCTCCCATAATTAAAGTAAATCACTGGCACTGATAGATACCAAAAGCAACTCGAGTAATTGCGGTACCTTTGTGTGCACATGAAGAAGTGTTAGGCGTTGCTAACTCAGATCTTGGAAAACTTAGATGCCAACCTCTGTTGTCTCAAGCATTAGTCTTCTACTCTCCCTGACTCTATTTCTTGATTGGTCAAGCCTCTTCACTGACATTGCCAATCTTCGCAAAAACGCCTCTGCCATCTAAAAGTTTGTGCGAAGATGACAAATAAAGAAGGGTCCCTCAGGAAACATAAGCTTAACTGATGCGAGTCAATTAAGACAACTAAGATAATGAGAAGACAAGAGTTTCTGCTTAGGATTTAGGAGCTTACTGCATGCAGATCCGCAATTCCATATTTCATCAATTCGCCACAGACGAGACTGCTTAGTATCTGAGGACAAAACTCGTTTCAACTCCTTCTTCAATTGGTTCAGATCAGATTTACACTCTTTTAGTTTAGAAAGATACAAAGCTTTAGCACTCAGCTGCAAACTTCTAGCCTCAAGATCCACTTTCCCAATCTACAAAACAAAACACAGAAGCATCTATTGAGTTTAAAAACTAGAACAGAACGGTATAAATATTTAGCAAGTTAATTGTTAATACCAAGACACCAGCTTCTTCTAATCCAGACTTGCTCTCAGTAATCTTCCACATCTTCTTCCCTGTAAAAGCACATAACTCTATCAAAACAAACCTCTACTCTGGTTCTATGGCACCAAAAAATGTAACAACTTCGAGCATGTCTATGCACTATAACCCCAAGAAAGACAGTGGTAAACATAGACTGAGAAACAAATGAAAAATTAACCAACTTAACTAATGAAATCAACTATCAAGAACCAAATATTAGAAAATAAATAACGCACATAAGGAATTATGATTGGTCAAACGCAATATCTTCGACTCCTTCTCCTCACAATGCTTCTCTCATAAAAGAAAATTGAAGTTACGCAAAGATAAAATGATCTTTTAAATGTCACGATGCAATCATGTAAATACCAACAAAAGAGCTTCACGTGCTGCTTAAGAAAAAGTGAAATGAATGGGAAACCCTCTTGACTCCTCTACGATCTAAAACAAACAGAAAATATTCTCAGTTATATAAGAAATAAATTATGATACCAGAAACCATGAATAAAAAACTATTAATTGAAGAGGCAAGTGGCTTCCAAAGAGAAACCAAAAACTTCAGTCTCCTGCATCCATGACATAAACAAGATATTTATAGGGCTACCCTCCAAGTCACATCATGTTAAAGCATGCACACATCTTGATACCTGATAAGAAAACGTTGGATATATATTTTTCCTGAATTCTCACCTGAGATTTTCTCTAGGATCCATGTAGACACATTGAAAAGAAGAACAAAAAGTTATAATATGCAAGTTTATCAAAAAAAAATATGACCCTAACAGAGATGCTTTGACTCTCATAATTGATTGCCTAATTTCAATTACCGCTGTAGGAGGAAAAGGAAAAAATGTGAGAATCCCTGACAGTCTCGGAGGAAACCTTCTTGTTGGTGAAGTTCTGTTTTCCCCCAAGTGCAAACCAAAAGGATGAGCTCTATGTTCCTCTTTTGCGTGCTTGACAGTAATCATGAGCTGACTTATCAAGAAAAAAGATGATAGCAGGTTCTTAATCCAAATAAAACAACATTCAGGCATCCTTTTCAAATTCAAACATTACACGATCATAAATAGGTAGCCAAGTTTTGAACAGTCTAAATTAGAAAATGTATTTAACAAGATAGAAAAGTAAGGTCGAACAGTACCGCTTCAACTTGTAGTGCCTTATTATTGTGAACTCCAGTTCCAGATATTGAATAAGTGCAACTGATTCCGTCTGATGAATCTTTCTTTGTCATTCTACAGTATTCTTGTAAACAGAACTCAAACCACTCTAAAAGTTAATGTAACTATATCAATTACGAATAGATTTTGTTGCAGCAACAATCAAAAGAAATACCTTAAGGACAATCATATGTTGAAAAGTGCAACAAATTGTGGAGGTTCTTTACCCTCAAATATAGGAGCCTGCAAGAAGATCAAGTTCTTCAACAATCTTTCAGTGCTAGTGGCTATAACTTCAAATAACAAAACAAGGTACCTGCACTGGTCTTCCCTTCAACGAATTTTTCATTGTGTTCGCTAGACGAACAGCTGTTTCTTGATCCTCCTAAACTTGGAGAAAAAAAAAACAGAGCCTGCTAACAAAATCAATGAAATAATCCTTAAGAAATAAGTAGCCAAACCACTTACACACCCGACTAAAAATGGTTGTGAGAAAATGAGAAAATAAAAGCCAATTAAGAAGTATTGATCAATCAGGTATATTCAGAAAATGAAACATTACAAAAGGATATTAATTCGGGTAACTCCAAGACACACATCATAAAGAAGTATTGATCAATCAGATACAGAAAACCTGTTAAAAGAAACAATAATGAACATCAGAGACGTGATAAAGGTGAAAGGAACACAAACTAATTCATTAAAAAGGGTACAAGGAACTTATTTGAATGTGTTAACCAAATGACCCATGTCAAAGTACTGCTTCCTGTTGTCAAATGAATTTAAGCTCATGTTGCAACCAAATAAATATACAGTAGTAATAAGTTTCAACAGCTATTAAACCAAGTATTGAATAACCAAAGGGAGGGAAACTCTATAGAAAAGCTAGACTTACCTGGAGAATGCGGAAAGGGTCACGAGATTCAAACGCCATGAATATGTTCAGGTTGAAGCGTATACTTTGAAAACATTTCCAGAAAGTTTAGATGCTTTCAGATCCCGGAGTGTGATGCAGTTCTCCTTCTGAAAGAGTCATTCAACAATTGATGTTACAAATAAGAAAGCATAAAAACAGCCTGGAATATGAAACGACCATGTTATGATTTGAAAGAACTCTCGCCTCTGGTTTAATCATGTAGAATATTAGACATAGGATATCTTCAAAGAGTACATGTTCATTGGGAGTGATCACCACCCCATCTCCATTCTCCAACCTGGTCTATATATGCACTTGAACCTACAAATGTGGTTTTTATCACTATCAAGCTAAGGGGAAAAAAAAAACACAAAGCTGCCAAGATCATATGTTAACATCCATAGGAGATAGATGAGCATACCAGTGAGGAATCATATATTATATAATGAATGGAAACGAGCAACAGATCACTAGCCAGACGTATGTCTTGGTTTCAATATGGGTATTCTATATATGTTCCTGAATTAATGGTTCGTGAATCCAAAATCTCAGGTAAACATTATTGTTTCATCAAGAAGGCCACATATACCACAAGAAGGGAAGAGACATGTACCAATATTTAAGACTAGGCTCAGATGACTTATCCTCCTCAGCGAGAATAAAGTATGCAAAATCTTTCAATCAAGAGAGAATGAAACACATCCCACTACCAGACTGATCCTGTCATAATGTTTTAAGAAAAGTACAGTTATTAACCAGATCATCCAGTGATATCCAAAAATCAAAGTAAACTAGGAATACAAAATTAGGAAAGGAGTAAAACCCAACCATAAGAGGACATGCAATGTCCAATCAACGCTCAAGCAGCCAAATCAGACACCCAAACTCCACACCACTGCATCGACAGAAGAAAGCCACATGTTGCAATTTATGAGCCAAAGCTTAGAATACAAGTGTTTCTCACTTTGAGAAACTCTACAACCTAAACCAAGCAAGTAATATAGGAATGAAAAATAAAAGAGACAAAACCTGAGGACCATTAAAAGAGAGAGACCAAAACGTGATATCCACTTTATATGCATAAGAAGTAATTTCAACATGTCAATAAAGGTAACCAATGCAATAAGAAATCAAACACCAGAAACAAATTACCCAGAATATATGATCAGTGAAAAGAAATTAATTTATTCGACTCCTCCTCTCCCATAATTCTTCCAACTCCTAAAAAAAAAAATTAAGTTACGATAGTAATTATTGAACAGTAAGTAACACAGAATTAAAATCTAGGAGCACTTTTACCAGGACTAGTCTCGTAACATCTCTTCAAGAAGACCACAAATTCAATATAGACATGTCTAGTAGCTGTAATTTGCTAAACATGTCTTAGTAATAAGCAACTCGCAAAAGCAAGTCGCGAAAAACAAAAGAGAAGAAGGGAAGAGACGGGCACCAATACTCAAGACTAGGCTCATATAGTCAGATGACTTATCCTCCTTGGCTGCTACAAACACAAGTTAGTCAGATACATACTTGATACTACCTCAATAATAAGATGACCCACTACTCATATAACATACCAGAGCTGCTCCGAAGGTATCATAGGATGCAACTACAACAATTCCAGAAAGCTGGTTGGAATCTCCTCTCCTCTTGATCCCTTCACACAAACCAAATCCTCTCAGGATTTCTGTATGTCTCAAATCGAAAATAAACGAGTAACTAACAAGGATCCAATGAGTAACTAACAAGGAGCGGGCAGATCAAAATTAGGATAAGTAATAATATTTAACATGAGGGAAGTGTACACCGAATTCATTGTTGCTGGAAAATGGAAGAGCTTAGACTGTTCCTATAGAGATGATGAAAGCAAAAATGATACATCGCAGGGAAACTGGACTGTAGGATTCGGCAATGCATGCTACTACAAACCAGATCGTTTAGAACTTAACAACTGAGGTTCCCAATACTGAATTAGCTAATAATTGAAGACACGACAAAGAAGGTTATGTTACATTAGTACATTTCATAGATATCAAAGCTAGTCATGAAAATATGAGAATGAAATTAAATACAATGCATTACCTGAATGTTTTTGATGGTATGAGATGCAATTTTCCTACTCTGATACAGAGATAACAAGCTTATATCTGAAAAATAGTCACAAAAAGAGATTGTTTAGATACATACTATCTGTTGAGTCGCCAATTAGGCACCCAAAAAGTCAACAGAGAACCTGAGGACCATCAAAATGAAAAACAGAGGAAGTTTTCTTCGACTCCTCTTTCTTCCATAATGTTTACAACTCCTAAAATAGTCAAAACTGAAATTGCGGTTAGTAATTGGAAAAGCCAAACATCAAATAACATAGAATTAAGCATAGACGAGAGAACTAGAAACACAACAAACTTTGGTAATTAGTGAAAAAGATGAGAGCGATGATCAGTCACAACAATGAAGTTATGCTTCTAACTACTGAAACAAAAAAATTGAAGTTAAACAACTTATTATTGAACATTAAGTAACATAGAATTCAAATCTATGAGCACTTTTACCAGGACTAGTCTCGTAACATCTCCATCTCTTCAATCCACAAGCGAAGGGAAGAAACAAAGCAACACACTCTCTGCCTTTCAGGACTAGTCCCCAAAGTTTTCCAGAACCAGAATTTTAAACAGATAATGGCAAAGCAAAATAAGTCTGAACGGAACACATGAGCATACAAGAGAGAATCCAACAACAACAAGTCAATAAGCAAAGAGGAACAAATAACTGATACAAAACATTTATAATAATAAGAAGTAATTTAAATAAAAAGAGAATCCTCCAACAAGAATATGTCACTATGATTTAGACTCTAAGGAAACGTTTAGTCAAAGAACATAAACAACCAAAGAGAGTTCAGGAAACAACTAAAAGAAACCCATCCTCCTAAGCAAAGTAAAGCAAGAGCGAAAACATGAACCCTCTTTATTAAAGAGAACCTAACACGAAGAAGTGACCCCACATAATCAAGAGCCGAAACAACTGATCTATACAATCACTTTGGCCAACTAATCACAAAAGACTTTCAACATAACATTATCTCTCTGAAGAACAGAAGGAACCTGAAAATCCATATCTTGGAACGTCAAAATCTATGCGTATCTAGAATCATCGACAACCTATAACCAAGAGATTGTAACCAAAGCAGCTTAGATATCAAACAATGAAACAATTGTTCGTACTTCTGGATATATACCTTTTCACTCATTTGCTGCAATACTAGTAAAGAACTTACCCTCTTTGTGATGCCTAACTTGTTAATTCTGGTCTTCGTGGAGGTGATTTTGATGATGGTGTAGAATTGAATGCAGATGATAAAGCTTCAGCCCCTTGATCTCCATTTGAACTGTCTCGGCTCTGCAGTTAAATCAAAGAGCGTGTAAGGCAACAGATCAAGAACATGGGACACCAGTAGCTGTGATTTGCTAAACATGTCATAGTAAAAAGCAACTAGCAATAGCTGAAAAGCAGTAAGCACAAGCAATTAAATCTGAAGACCATCATTTAGCAAAAAGCAGACAAAACGTGAAGACCATCAAAAGAAAGCCGCCTCTCGAGTCAACCAATTAGGAATCAAAAAGTATCATACAGGTCTCACCTCCATCATGAATTGATTCTGAGTTAAACCCACACAAACTTGCAGAAAAAGCATTAAACAGAAAAACCTGTATAATTTAGTAGAAATCAAGCTAAAAAATGGCTAGTAAAAGAATGAATTTAAAAGTTTACTTCCCCTTATGATTCTCTTAGCGTTTGGATTCAGAAAGCCCTTCTTTTAGACCCTTCATTCTTGAAAAATACATCCAGAACGTCCTAATCGATATTTCTCTAATATTCAGGATCAACCAGCTTGCCATGGGAAAAATCAAACTGTAATTTTTCAGGAAGAATCAATTTGATCTGTTCTGCTAAATATGATACCTAAGCCCATTTTATATTCATGAGAAAGACATAATTTTAAGCTTTCGTGGTATAAATGAAAGCAAAAAAGAAAATACACATACCTTCAGGGAAAAATTCAACATATGTGTGCATGTCTGATTGTTAGCGATGAGTTTACGTCTCTCATAGTTAACCTTCACACCTTAGACAAGATAAAAAAAGTTATACAAGTAAAATCCAAAAGAGAGAAACCACTATATAAGGTAAAATGTTTACCTTGCAGGTCACTTTATCCCCCATTGATACATCTCCACTTTCACTAGAGAGATAGTGAATATGCAGAGCAAAATCCGGCAAGGTGCTTGCGCATAAAAAGACTTATATTGAAGCAAGATCATTAACACTATTACGCACTAGCTTCTTTCTTTCTACAATAAAAGAATAACGGTTTAGATTCAACATCTGAGTTATCGAGATAAATAGGAAAAAGAAATCACATGTTGCTGACACACCCGTTTTGATGTAGTAACACCACCTTTCTGCAAAAAAACAAATGGTGTCAAAATATTTGTACATAGATAACTGTAATTTATGTTAGTGTGAAAAAACAAAGTAAAGAGAGAGAGAAACGTTGGAACAAATTTGGCTTGGCACAGGGCACTCTATGATCTTTATTTTGTTTCTCTCTTGGCTTTGCTGAAACAATAAACGAACCACCAATCCAATCTCTTCAGCCATAAACTGAAACAAGAGAATCAAAGTGAAGTGAGTGATCCTGGAAGCCAAATCCTCTCAAGCTTTTTGTATGTCTCACATCAAGAGAGATAAAGAAAGAGGGCGTGAGAGCACATACAAAGTTAGACGATCGTCTAAGTCAGTGTAGCATCAATTAACCGTAAAAATAAAAAGTACAGGGAGAGCGAAACATTGGACCTCATTTCTTTGTGCACTCTTTGATCTTTTTACTTTGCTTGCCTTTTTCTGAAACAGTCAACATTAACCACCAATCCTACCTCTTCAGCTATTAACTGAAACAAGAGAATGAAAATTAAGAAAGAACACAGAGCTTTTAGAAAAGAACGACAGATAAATTAAATAGCCGAGTCAAATCTAATGGAAACCACAATTCAAAAAGAGGCCAATGTTACAAAATAAGAACTTTGCCACAACAAAAACAAAAAAAAAAACTAAAGAGAACCTTTGATATAACCTTACATCTTTGGAAAGGCACAATCTCTAAAGTAAGAATAGAAAAGCCAAAAGAGGCAACAAGGAAAACGAAACAAGGAAAGAAAAACGTTTTATATGATTAAACTTACAATATGAAAGGATATTTACTGGCCAGCTTGCTTTCCTCCAAGACATCGAAAGTTATGTGTATTTACAATAAAGAAGTTGTGGTAGAGTAGTATTGACAGATGCTTACCTCTTCACGCGCCGGAACATTTTTGAAAGCCAGAGCTTTTGCTGAATCAAACAGCCTTAACCAACATTTCAAAATATAGAACAATATTGCTTAGAAAACTCTTTTATTTGCTTCTTGGTTTCTAGATTTGACTGTTCTTACCGATCTAGATGTTCACTCCTATTTAAATATATGATTTATAGATATGGCATCCTAAAAGCAATTTCTTCCCTATGTGGTCTAAATTATCATGTTTACTCAAATAAACATATGTGGTCTAAGTTGTTGTAATTTCTACCACTTTCCTGTGAATGTGAATATACCGGTTAAGAAAAAGCGAAATGAATGGCAAATATACACAAAGTCAAATCATACCTGATAGAAGAAAAAGGTTTATAGATATGAAGTAATCAGAAAACCGGAATTACAAGCACTATGCATCCTCGCTGTCCAGATAGAGCGCAAACCATCTTGACTCTCCTACAAGCTGTACGATCTAAAAAAAAACAGAAGTGTTACTCTCAGTAATTGGGAAAGTCAACATCTCAAGTTTAATATAAGAATAAATAACTATCAAAAGACGAAAACCCTGATACCATAAACCACCAACAAAAACCTATCAACTGAAGAGGCCCGTGGCTACCAATTAGAAACCATCTTCAGTCTCCTGCATCTACGACAGTGTAAAATAACACAAAATGAGTAATCAACATAAACATGAAGGTTCTCAAGACAGTGCAAGAGTTGCCCCAAAAACATCTAAGCAAACAGTTTTAGGAGTTACTTAGCATTAGACTGATCAATATTATCGCATAAGCAGCAGAAGATGCATCATAAGGACTTCGCCTAAACAAAAAAAAAAAGTACAAAAGAGAAACTACTGAGAACCTTTAGTATGACCGTATATCCCTGGAAAGGTATGGTGTAAAAAGGATATTTATTGGGCCACCTTGCCATCCTCCAAGGCACAACTGAAGAAGTGTTGATCATATACATATATATAATCTGTAGAACAAACAACAATGAACACGAATGCCAGACAATAAATAACCAGAAAAGGTACAAAGCAAAGTTTGAGACGTTGGACCCAAAAAAACCGCTCGGTAGACATATCCACGTTGAAAGGGTTAAGGAATGTATATGAATTTGTTCAAGGGACCACGGTGATCTGACGAAACCTGAGGACCATTAATAGAAAGAGAACAAATGCTTTCAAAATGAGATTGTAAACACCTGAAACATACCTGACTTAATATGAGATTGATAACATGGGGTTGCCAATGCTGTCATAATATTTTGAAATAAACAGTCAATAACGAGATCATCCAATGACATCCAAAAATAAAGTAAAGTAGGTATACAAAATTAAGAAAAGGAGTAAAATCCCGGAAACCATAAACAGCCGCAAGATTCCAATCAACGCTCAAGCAGCCACCAAACAATACAAACCACTGCATCGACCGAAGAAAGCCACATATGCGATTTTAAATCAAGTAAGTAATATAGGTTCGAAAAATAAAAGAGACGAAACCTGAGGACCATTAAAAGAAAGAGCCCAAAACGTGATATCCCCTGTATCTGCATAAGAAGTAATTCAACATGTCAATAAAGGTAACCAATGCAATAAGGAATCAAACAGTAGAAAAATAACCCGAACAATGTGCTTTGTGGAAATTTTCTTCGACTCTTCTCCCATAATTAAAGTAAATCACTGGCACTGATAGATACCAAAAGCGACTCGAGTAATTGCGGTACCTTTGTGAGCACATGAAAAAGTGTTTGGCGTTGCTGACTCAGATCTTGGAAAACTTAGATGCCAACCTCTGCTGTCTCCAGCATTAGTCTTCTACTCTCCCTGACTCTATTTCTTGATTGGTCAAGCCTCTTCACTGACATTGCCAATCTTCTTCTTTGATCAGCAGATACCTGGAACGAGGACAATAATGTGAATCGCAAAAACGCCTCTGCCATCTAAAAGTTTGTGCGAAGATGACAAATAAAGAAGGGTCCCTCAGGACACATAAGCTTAACTGATGCGAGTCAATTAAGACAACTAAGATAATGAAAAGACAAGAGTTTCTATTTAGGAGTTAGGAGCGTACTGCATGCAGATCCGCAATTCCATATTTCATCAATTCGCCACAGCGAGACTGCTTAGTATCTGAGGACAAAACTCGTTTCAATTCCTTCTTCAATTGGTTCAGATCAGATTTACACTCTTTTAGTTTAGAAAGATACAAAGCTTTAGCACTCAGCTGCAAACTTTTAGCCTCAAGATCCACTTTCCAAATCTACAAAACAAAACACAGAAGCATATATTGAGACTGCTTAGTATCTGAGGACAAAACTCGTTTCAATTCCTTCTTCAATTGGTTCAGATCAGATTTACACTCTTTTAGTTTAGAAAGATACAAAGCTTTAGCACTCAGCTGCAAACTTCTAGCCTCAAGATCCACTTTCCCAATCTACAAAACAAAACACAGAAGCATATATTGAGTTTAAAAACTAGAACAGAACGGTATAAATATTTAGCAAGTTAATTGTTAATACCAAGACACCAGCTTCTTCTAATCCAGACTTGCTCTCAGTAATCTTCCACATTTTCTTCCCTGTAAAAGCACATAACTCTATCAAAACAAACCTCTACTCTGGTTCTATGGCACCAAAAAATGTAATAACTTCGAGCATGTCTATGCACTATAACCCCAAGAAAGACAGTGGTAAACATAGACTGAGAAACAAATGAAAAATTAACCAACTTAACTAATGAAATCAACTATCAAGAACCAAATATTAGAAAATAAATAACGCACATAAGGAATTATGATTAGTCAAACGCAATATCTTCGACTCCTTCTCCTCACAATGCTTCTCTCATAAAAGAAAATTGAAGTTACGCAAAGATAAAATGAGTAACTTATCTTTTAAATGTCACGATGCAATCATGTAAATACCAACAAAAGAGCTTCACGTGCTGCTTAAGAAAAAGTGAAATGAATAGGAAACCCTCTTGACTCCTCTACGATCTAAAACAAACAGAAAATAATCTCAGTAATATAAGAAATAAATTATGATACCAGAAACCATGAATAAAAACCAATTAGAAACCAAAAACTTCAGTCTCCTGCATCCATGACAAAAAATGCGTAATCAACATAAACAAGATATATATAGGGCCAGTTTGCAACCCTCCAAGTCACATCATGAAGGATAATGATAAAGCATGCACACATCTTGATAACTGATAAGAAAACGTTGGATATATATTTTTCCTAAATTCTCACCTGAGATTTTCTCTAGGATCCATGTAGACACATTGAAAAGAAGAACAAAAAGTTATAATATGCAAGTTTATCAAAAACAAATATGACCCTAATAGAGATGCTTTGACTCTCATAATTGATTGCCTAATTTCAATTACCGCTGTTGGAGGAAAAGGAGAACAAGTGACAATCCCTGACAGTCTCAGAGGAAACCTTCTTGTTGGTGAAGTTCTGTTTTCCCCCAAGTGCAAACCAAAAGGATGAGCTAAATGTTCCCCCTTTTGCGTGCTTGATAGTAATCCTGAGCTAAATGTTCTTAATACAAATAAAACAACATTCAAGCATCCTTTTCAAATTCAAACATTACACGATCACAAATAGGTAGCCAAGTATTGAACAGTCTAAATTAGAAAATGTATTTAGCAAGAGAGAAAAGTAAGGTAGAACAGTACCGCTTCAACTTGTAGTGCCTTATTATTGTGAACTCCAGTTCCAGATATTGAATAAGTCCAGCTGATTCCGTCTGATGAACCTTTCTTTGTCATTCTACAGTATTTTTGAAAAGTGCAACAAATTGTGGAGGTTCTTTACCCTCAAATATAGGAGCCTGCAAGAAGATCAAGTTATTCAACAATCTTTCAGTGCTAGTGGCTATTACTTACAATAACAAAACAAGGTACCTGCACTGGTCTTCCTTTCAACGAATTTTTCATTGTGTTCGCTAGACGAACAGCTGTTTCTTGATCCTCCTAAACTTGGAGAAAAAAAAAACAGAGCCTGCTAACAAAATCAATGAAATAATCCTTAAGAAAGAAGTAGCCAAACCACTTACACACCCGACTAAAAATGGTTGTGAGAAAATGAGAAAATAAAAGCCAATTAAGAAGTATTGATCAATCAGGTATACTCAGAAAATGAAACATTACAAAAGGATATTCATTCGGGTAACTCCAAGACACACATCATAAAGAAGTATTGATCAATCAGGTACAGAAAACCTGTTAAAAGAAACAATAATGAACATCAGAGACGTGATAAAGGTGGAGAAACATTACAAAAGGATATTAATTCGGGTAACTCCAAGACACACATCACAAAGAAGTATTGATCAATCAGGTACATAAAACCTGTTAAAAGAAACAATAATGAACATCAGAGACGTGATAAAGGTGAAAGGAACACAAACTAATTCATTAAAAAGGGTACAAGGAACTTATTTGTGTTAACCAAGTGACCCATGTCAAAGTACTGCTTCCTGCTGTCAAATGAATTTCAGCTCATGTTGCAACCAAATAAATATACAGTAGTAATAATTTTCAACAGCTATTAAACCAAGTATTGAAGAACCAAAGGGAGGGTAACTCAATAGAAAAGCTAGACTTACCTGGCTAATGCGAAAAGGGTCATGAGTTTGAGACGCCATGAATTTGTTCAGGTTGAAGAGTATATTGAAAACATTTCCAGAAAGTTTAAATGCTTTCAGATCCTGTAATGAGATGCAGTTCTCCTTCTGAAAGAGTCATTCAACAACTTGATGTTTCGAATAAAGAAAAAAAAAACAAAACAAACAGGGATATGAAAAATACCATGTTATGATTGAACTCTTGCCACTGGTTTAATCAAAGAGGTTAAAGTAAAAAAAAAAACTGATCGAATATTTACAGAGGATATCTTCAAAGAGTAAAACAAAACTGCATTCCGTTCAGTGTGATTTCCAGCCAGGTCTATATATGGACTTGAACCTGCAAACGTGGTTTAAATCAATATCAAGGGGAAAAAAAACCACAAAGCTGCCAAGATCATGTGTTTAACATCCATGGGAGATAGATGAGCATACCAGTGAGGCATCATATCACATGATGAATGGAAACGAGCAACTGATCACTATGTATTCTATGTTCATGAAATAATGGATAGTGAATTCAAAATCTCAGGTAAACATTATTGCTTCATCAAGACAAAATGTTTAGAGTGACATACTGTGAACTATACATTTAGAGTGAGATACTGTCAGCTAAGCAGCGAAAGGACAAAATGGCTGAAGAGAGGAAGGGAAGAGACGAGTACCAATACTCAAGACTAGGCTCAGATAGTCAGATGACTTATCGTCCTCAGCAGCTACAAAAACAAGTTAGTCACGTACATACATGATACTACCTCAATAGTAAGATGATCCACTACTTATATTACATACCGGATCACATGAGCATACAAGAGAGAGTTCATGTAACAACTGGGGTTCCCAAAACTGAACGGAACACATGAACATACAAGAGAGAGTTCATGTAACAAGAGTATCCTCCAACAACAACAAGTCAACAGAGAACCTGAGGACCATCAAAATAAAAAACGGAGGAAATTTTCTTCGACTCCTCTTTCTCCCATAATGTTTGCAACTCCTAAAAAAAGTCAAAATTGAAATTTCGGTTAGTAATTGGAAAAGCCAAACATCAAACCTTTTAGTACAACCACTCAATGCATCTTATCAACTAGTCACATAGAAGGCCATTAGTCCAAGCAAAATAAAACGATAAACTACTTGCCTGATTCAAATTGGTGTCTCTATAGACATTTTGCTCCAAATAAACATATAGCACTGTATTGAGAGTATATACGGTAGATGAAAACTTTAAAGGTTTAAGAGACACTCCCATCGTGTGGCAGGAGATGATAACTTGGTGAAGATTTTTTGGACCAAAAGCTCCAGTGCTGCAGAACTAAAGCAAAACAAAATCCGATATGAGATAATCAGTTCATGTCAAAGCTTAAATTGGAAATCAAAACGATTGTTCAAGTGATCGATCAAACAGAAAAATTACGAATATCTTATGCTCCGATTCCTTCACGATTTGGCTCCGCCTGCTTCATCGACGAACGGTTCCGTCATCATCTTCTAGATCGATCAATCCAGAGAGAAGCACAAAAATCAGAAGAAAAGCCCTAGTTTGATTTCATGAGACCGTTGCGTCTTAAGGCAGAGAAGAGAGACTTGTTATAATTGAGGATTTTCTCCAAGTCGGTTTCTGGGTTTTGGAGAGCAAACGGTCACAATATCTATTTCGTAATTGAAAGCTCAAAGATTCCTTTTTGGGATTTAATTGCCGTTTGACGTCCAAACCAAGGTTTACGATTTATGACCGTTGAAAACCAAACCGATATTCAATTAAACCAAACCGATCTTTAAACGCAACCATTCTTCGATACCGAAACGAAATTCAATAACTGATTCTTTTGGTTATATACATTTCTTTTGATTTGGTTTCAAACCGAGTCCACCAAATAAAACTAAAATCATGTAATTTACCTTTTTTTGGAAATTTTTTATTTAAATCATTTAATTGCAGCTTTTTCATTTTGTATAATACCAAAATATTTTGCGAGATTCGTGTTCGACAATTTTCTGAAATATATATTTGCATAACTTTCTTTCAGTTATCGATAAATCTTATTTTGTATCATGTCTTAAAAATAATTTGTTTTATTATGAGTAGTAAGCAATTAGTCAATGCTAGTTATAAAGTAGTATAAGAATTAAAAATTATATTTTTTTTTGAGACTTGTGACCAAAAACTATGGAAATATGTTGCAAATGGTCAACCGTCAAAACAACGAGATGAAAACATATCAATATAAAAATAAAAGATGAATCTTTTTTAGTGGATGAATTTTTTTTTTCTTTCTCTTGTTTGCTCATCTTACTAACTATGTACAATGGTTGATTTATTCAACACCCTCTTTTTTACCTTTTAACACTCCACATCATCTTCTCTCTCTTCCACCTAATAATTCAACATTCATTTCAATTTTAATCTTTACAATAGTTTTGTTTAATAAAATTCAACACTCTACCCTACTCTTTTACTTCATATTATTTTTGTTTTTTGTTTTATGATTATATACCAATAACGATTAGCGATTGAAATAAAATAAAATAGTTAAGAGTTAATAATTTTAAAAGTTTTCTTTTAAATTCTTAAAAAAAATCAAAGTAATATAAAAAGAAGAAGAAATATAGAAATTCATTATGAATAGTGGGACTTGGATTGGATAATATTGTCTGAAGTGCAAATAGTAAACTCGGACTCGGATTAGATAGGATTGTGCGTTTAAAAAAGTAATTAGAAGTATTTTGGATGTTAAATGGATTATTGTTGGGATCAATTTCATAAAAAAAGATTTCTTTCTTTGTCCAAATCAAATGAAATAAGTCTCTATTTATAGAGTATAAAAAATGATGAATTTTGATATAAATAAAATAAAAAATAATTTATTTACTATAGAATAATTTATTTTAAATATTTTGGTAGAAAGAAAAAAACAAGAATTCTTAACAGCCAATAAATTAATTCAAAAGTAATTCTCTTTACCAATTAAAAAGCGCCACGTGTACATGTTAATATTCTCTTTTACGGATTCAACATGTTGAAAGAATTCAACATTTTTTTTTTTTCAACAAACCATTGTAATGATTCAACAGTTTAGTAAAAAAATTAAACACACCATTGCAAGTAGTCTAACATGAAAAAGATGAATACTAATATTTTGTACTTTCAATCCAAACGGTACAATTTTGAATATATTTTTCACCTAATTTTGTTCATTTAAAAGTAATACTTTAACTAAGACATGGAACAAACACTAAAACTAGTTCTCAATGATGGTATGGCTAGACTTTTTTTCGTACATTGTCAAAAAAATTTAATGTTTCTGTTTAAAAAATAAAATTCCCTGTATTTGTTTTTTTTTTCTTTTCCAGGAGATACTATTTGGAGTTTACAACTTGAACAGTCACTTAAGTAAAAAAAAAAACATAAAATTAAAACTAAATCCATATGCAAGTGGAGCATATATAGAGTTACAAAAGTAGACACAAAAACGTAAGTGGAGATAGAGAGAATCTAAGACTTGAATGTAGCCAAACTAGGTTGATAGGTATGAAATTAAAGCATGAGCTTGTTGTTGGTGGTTAAATGGTGCACACATGTGAAGCATAGAGTTACAATTGTTGCATGTTCTTTTCCTTTTTTAAGGGTATGTATTAATTGCTTCTTCATATTCAACTATTGTATGCTCTTGTTAGTTGTTAGTTGTTACTGAGGCCACTACTGATGAGAGCAGTGGTATTGTACTAAAGTTAAACGTTGAGTGTTTGAAATGTCCACAAGATACTCATATTTACATAAATGGAGAACTATATGATGTCTTAGCATATAGGGAAAAAAAGCCGAAAAAATGCATGTTTAATTTTTATTTGGGCGTTTAATACTCAATTGTTTTCGGTTGGAAGAAAAATATACATAGTAATTAAAGTGTGCGATTTAATACGCACAAAAATAAAATATTGTTATTTTCATACTCACGATTTCATAATAAAAATAAAATTCAAATTTTACCCTTACCATTTGAATTAACTATTAATTTTAAATGTCGTGGCGATCATTTTTCATTTTATTTGAATAAAAATTAATTTTTATCTATAATTTGTTTACTACAATTATTTATATTTAAAATTATTTATATTTATACTACAACAAAAAGTAATTTTTATTTCTATTTTTTTACTCCAGATTTTTATTTATTTATTTTAGTTTGAAATTTCTACATAAATAATTGTAGGTAAACAAAAAATAACTGAAAATTAATTTTTACTCAAATAAAATAAAAAATGATTGCCACGTTATTTAAAAATTAATAGTTAATTCAAATTGTAAGGGTAAAATTTGAATTTTATTTTTGTTATAAAATCAGTATCATTAAAGTATTAATTGAACAACTTTTAAGAGTTCCAATTTGTATCATTAACGTATTACTCTACTTAACTACTTCTCTTCCAAAAGTTCGACAGCCACTAAACATGTATATCACTAGAATTTAATTCATGGTATACCACGGGACAATTTTTGTTTCACATAAACTTAATTAGATCAAGCTAATTTGATATGTCTAATATTCTAATATTGATATTGTTAACAAAAATAACAAAATCGGGATTTAACCCGTGTTGTAAAGCCAACTTAGTGATATTTATAATTTTTATAATGTCGATTCAAACATGTACTGCCATATAATATGTCCCATGTTTCTTCAAATTTTTATATTTTAAATATTCATAGTATATTAATTTTTATTAAGTTTAAATATATTAACAATAATATTTAAGATTTTTATCCGGTAAAATTAAACAGTTCAACTCAATAAATTAATTAAACCAGATAAAATTTTTTATATTTGGATGATTTTACATTTTTTTTGAATGAATCTAAAACTTATTAATAAAAAAACCAGTGTTACATCAAGTGTATCGTTTCTGAAAATAGATCCACAAAAAAATTACAAATCAAGTTCTAGTGGCGAGCCAAAGCATGAAAAGATCTTCATACTTTTTGTTTCCTGATTTTGTTAAGTAGAGTGATCCGATTGCAAATGGTTTGTCGATGATTTTTCCAAGTCTTGACGCTGGTGATGGGTCCTCTCCATGTCGACGACTATTCCCTTCCCTCCATATAGTGTGGACCGTAATTTGGAAAGCATATCTGAAAAGCAGAAGTGATTTGGGGTCAAGTGTTGTGTCCCTTTAGGATTCTTTGTGTGAGCTTTTTCCAAATTTGACTTGTATAAGGACAGCGGAAAAAGAGATGCTTTTACATTCATAATCTTATTTATAATATAACTATGAATAATTTTCTAACATTTTA